ATCAATGAGGAAATCTGTAGGAACTACGAGGTGTAGTGGTCTAAGGCGGGTGCATGGGAGTACCCAGAGCACAAGTTCGAATCCTCCTCATTTCTCCTAAAGATTGTCTCAATTCCAAACCATGTATGTCGGATTAAGGGTGATAAATTTCTTGAATCTACAAATGGTTGTATCGGTGATCCCTTCCCCCCATAAAATCTGTCACCCCCATACAGAGAGAACTATACTCATACTAGCTGTATATCATATTAATTTGGTAGAACCGATCCAGACTAATTCCCTGTCAAATAGTTTGAGTTCAATGCGATCAGTACTTCTGCAGAACTGACGTGCATTCTGGGCTTGTTGCTCTAGGCTACGTTACACAGTTGATGATCTCTGTGGGTAGTCGGCCATATTGCATTGGCGATATTACAGAGGAAAAGAAATTTCAGTCATCTGGCGCCCAACGTGGGTCAAATTTGGAGCACAAGAGGTTGAACTAACAACATTGTACAAATTTTACATTGTACAATTGTACATTCTACAATTTTTAATTAAATCGGTACAGCAGATTTTGAAGGAAAACGGTTAACAAATCGTTAGGTACACGCACACGTGAAATGTGGCTGAGGTGATGAGAAAGGCACACAGGAATCTGTCTAATGGGCAAAGTGCCAGAGAATTTAGGCGGACACAGCAAGGTGGTGTGTGCCAGCCATATCCTGCCAATAACAAACATGGTTCAGCAGGCAAACCCCGCTAGTGTACAGAGAAATAGGAACAAGGAAGAGGCCTCGTTCTGTTTACAAACAACAATGACCGAAAGTGTAGCAACTATATTAATGCTAAGGTTAATTTATTTAGCCTGGACTTCTCAAACTAGAACTACAGCTTGGAATAGGGCAGACATAGTGCCGATCCCAAAACACAACGATCCAGTTAATTAATGGCCCATTTCTCTCCTAAGCTGAGTAGCCAAGATGGCTGATAGAATGGCACTCAGCTGACTTGAGTGGAAAATGCCTAAACTGCACCAGGACGTGTATGACTATAGAAAAGGGGTTGGCACAGTGGAATGTACACTCTGTTAGCACACCTTACAGACAGACAGACTAGGAATACTGATATTCCTGGACCTTGAGAATTCCATTGAACTGACTAGCACCGCAGCTATTCTCTGCTGCCTCATCGACAAAGAGGTCAAAGGCAACCTGCTCTCCTGGACAAAAACTGTCTCACAAACAGAGAGGTAAGAGTAAAACTTCATGACACAGTCTCTGAGTACAAAAGACATGAAAATGGTACACTGCAAGGAGGCATTCACAGCCCCCTTCTCTCCAACTGTTTAATAGAAAGAATAATGAGACTGAAACTCCCACAACACTGCAGGCTGATGAACTATGCGGAGGTTATCTTGAGGTTATCTTGAGAATGATTTCGGGGCTTTTTAGTGTCCCCGCGGCCCGGTCCTCGACCAGGCCTCCACCCCTAGGAAGCAGCCCGTGACAGCTGACTAACACCTAGGTACCTATTTTACTGCTAGGTAACAGGGACATAGGATGAAAGAAACTCTGCTCATTGTTTCTCGCCGGCGCCTGGGATCGAACCCAGGACCACACCCAAATACTTAGACTGCATCAGTGAAGAGGCAAAGCTGATTGGTATCAGACTCAACCCCACCGAGACAAAAGCCATGCTCATGAAAATAGTGAAGCCCAACAATCAACTCAAAGTACAGGGTCACCCAAGAGAATGGTGAACATTTATCAGTACGAAAAATTCTGGACTCACAAATTTTAATGCTGAGGTCACTTGAGAAAAAGAACTGCGGCCAGAACAGCAATCCTCAGGTCGCTAACTTCCCTCCCTGGAGGAGCCAATCTGCAAGTCCTTCCCACATATTATGTACAGGTAGTCAGATCAGTGGTCGACTATGCAGCACCTAAGTGCACAAGCCTATCGCAACAACAGTTGAAAAAGCTTGTAGGAGTCCAAAACAATGCTATGAGAGCTGCCCTGGGAGCTTTTATGTGGAGCAGACTTGAAACTCTAAGACTGGAAACGAGTTTGCCTTCTCTTCAAGAAAGAATATCTCAAAGAACGGTTATGATTAAAAGCAAGATAATTGTTTCCCATTAAGTCCACTACAGGCTCACCATAGCTCAGGCTACTTGGAAATTTTTGTTCCGAGTAGCTGAATCTAAAACATGTTTTCCCTGATCCAGTCCCAATACGACAGGCCTTGGTGGTTGGACTTGACCAAAACATTGGAAATTTATGGGCTGCCAGAGTGGAGGAAGTCCTAATCAACTCAAACTGAGCTGTTTGTCATACAACAGGCATTCGCATATGGGATTGCACAAAACACTCAAAATTCAATCATACACACAGACTAAAAAGCTACACTTCAAATCTTAGAAAAAAAATCAGTGGAAAGACAACGCAGAAATAATTACCATCATATTATATCTAGGAGCCGTAGCTACAGGCAAAGGACTCAACACTAAACTGGATCCCATTCCATATTGGAATCCCATTAAAGGAGAGCCGACGAAACTGCTAAATTGGCAACTCGTCATCCAGTGATCCACAAAACAATCCAACCCAGCCCAGAGTTCACCATAAAAAAAAACTCACACACCTCAACAAAGCCCATCTACACCAGAGAGCAGCAGAAGGTTCGCCCTCTGCAATATGGTATCTTCAGGCCTAGTTAAAAAGGTTAAATATCCCGAAAGGAATCTACAGGGAAAATAGCAGTTCGGTTATATAGACTGTCTAGGTTACAGCTGCAACTGGGAGATTGGTGAACCCCGACAGAGGAAATGCACCTTCTACCTAACAATCACAGAAAAGCCACTACTTCACTATCTCCTGGAATGTGAAGCAACCAACGACCTTAGAAGAGCTTTAAGAGTCTCTGAATCTTGCAGTAACTGCCCTGAAGCCATCAACACTGACATTCTTCTGGTCAAAAAAGGTGTCCAGCAGCTGGACACCCTCATAAATACTGTCAAGCAGTATCCTCCCCCACGATAGCAGCCACATGTAAGGACTGACGATTTAACTGCGAGCTCAGTACACAGTATATCCCTACACGACCAGAGATCACATTCACTCCAAAAAATCTACCACTTACGGGCTATTCATGCCCGTGCCACCTCTTGGATGGCTTGATCTCTGATGGCAATCCGATTGATTGATAGTCTAAACTGACGGATTGCCATCAGTCTAAATTCAGGGATCGCCATCAGTATAGTGGTTGAGGATAGACGCTAGAGAGATGCCGCACATATTCAACACCAGCAACAATGTAAATACATAGCTATCGAAATGGAACATTCTCTGTAACTACCTGACTTTACAATTATAAGGTGTGAAGGATAGATGTAATGGGGTAATAATCACCGTTGAGGTCCGATAAAGATCATTAGTACGCTCTGTAATCCTTTTTTGCGCTACAGCTCACAGGATGAGTATGGGGTGCACAATAAACTAGCTGCCTCTGACGGCAACTATCAAATCGTGGAGTGTAGTTCCTGCCCTCATAAGAGGCTTCAGCCTCGCTACAGAGCAAGTTCAAGTATGTTTATTGAGACAGAGCAGGCAGCCAGCTTCCTGGTGGAGAGCGTGGAAGCATTATTGAGACAGAGCAGGCAGGCAGCTTCCTGGAGGAGAGCGTGGAAGCATTATTGAGACAGAGCAGGCAGGCAGCTTCCTGGAGGAGAGCGTGGAAGCATTATTGAGACAGAGCAGGCAGGCAGCTTCCTGGAGGAGAGCGTGGAAGCATTATTGAGACAGCAGGCAGCCAGCTTCCTGGAGGAGAGCGTGGAAGCTTTAATTTGAGTGTTGCATTATATTATGTATAATAATTATTTGTATAATATATTGCAGAATTAATATGTGCTAGGCCTACGTTGATGGGGCAAACATATGTAGATATTTTCATTAATACATTGAGTTAGTGTGAACTCTTATCTCTAATATTGATGAGTAAAACTTTTAGATTAAGAAATTTCAAGGCGATTTTGATGAGCAATATTAGTTGTAAGTTTCATTTACATCATTATAGAGAATTATAATATTATAAATAACGTGTGGGTTATTCTTCAACAAAAGCCGCCATTGTTGATGCAAATTATCAACACATCACTGAGCATGGCGATGTTGCCAATTTTCAACTGTAAATTTTAAATTATGTTAAGCTGACATGTAGAGAACAATTACATGTTATAATATCCCAGTCAAGGTTATTGATTATAAGATATTGGAGTGTGTTCGGGACGAGTTAGTGGCAACTAGTAGCACAAAGGCAGCCAACTTGCTGTCCGCCTCCTGGACCTGGAGTTAGTGGTGAGCTCACCTCCATCAAGGTAGGATGTGTGCAGCATGTCGCTACAACTGGTGTACCAACAAGGTTTTCATAATTGCTGAGTAGTTAGATCTGAAGTACTCCCTAATTAGCAGATACAGTTTGTAGGAGTTATTATTAATTTATTTATTTTGTAATTAGCGAATATAAGCCTATTATATTGTTTTACCTAGGTTAACAGTTTCTTTTCTGGTGATTAACTTTGTCATCCAGTCGTTCTTGTATAATGACATTGGGATCTTTCTGTCGTGTTTACAAGTAATCTGTAATCTCCCACTGACCTATCTTGAGGTTATTTTGAGATGATTTCAGGGCTTTAGTGTCCCCGCGGCCCGGTCCTCGACCAGGCCTCCACCCCCAGGAAGCAGCCCGTGACAGCTGACTAACACCCAGGTACCTATTTTACTGCTAGGTAACAGGGTCATAGGATGAAAGAAACTGCCCATTGTTTCTCGCCGGCGCCCGGGATCGAACCCGGGACCACAGAATCACAAGTCCAGTGTGCTGTCCGCTCGGCCGACCTGTCTAAAAATGTTGTATAGGAAAGAAGTTTGTTACTTTTTGCCAAAAGTATTATTTAACTATCCTGTGATCACGAGGGAGACGCTGTTAAGCGACTATTTCCTAAGATAATATTTATCAACAGGCTGGATTGGAGCGCGGGGCCTGTTGGCAGGTAATTGGCACTATTACTGCATCATTACTCAGCATCAACAACGGGTGAACCCTGTGTTGCAGCATCAACAACGGGTGAACCCTGTGTTGCAGCATCAACAACGGGTGAACCCTGTGTTGCAGCATCAACAACGGGAGGACCGTGTGTTGCAGCATCAACAACGGGAGAACCCTGTGTTGCAGCATCAAAAACGGGTGGACCCTGTGTTGCAGCATCAACAACGGGAGAACCCTGTGTTGCAGCATCAAAAACGGGTGGACCCTGTGTTGCAGCATCAACAACGGGAGGACCCTGTGTTGCAGCATCAACAACGGGTGAACCCTGTGTTGCAGCATCAACAACGGGAGGACCGTGTGTTGCAGCATCAACAACGGGAGGACCGTGTGTTGCAGCATCAACAACGGGTGAACCCTGTGTTGCAGCATCAACAACGGGTGAACCCTGTGTTGCAGCATCAACAACGGGAGAACCCTGTGTTGCAGCATCAACAACGGGTGAACCCTGTGTTGCAGCATCAACAACGGGTGAACCCTGTGTTGCAGCATCAACAACGGGAGAACCCTGTGTTGCAGCATCAACAACGGGAGAACCCTGTGTTGCAGCATCAACAACGGGAGAACCCTGTGTTGCAGCATCAACAACGGGAGGACCCTGTGTTGCAGCATCAAAAACGGGTGAACCCTGTGTTGCAGCATCAACAACGGGAGAACCCTATGTTGCAGCATCAACAACAACAACAGGACCGTGTGTTGCAGCATCAACAACGGGAGAACCCTGTGTTGCAGTATCAGCAACGGGAGGACCCTGTGTTGCAGCATCAACAACGGGAGGACCCTGTGTTGCAGCATCAACAACGGGAGGACCCTGTGTTGCATCATCAACAACGGGAGGACCCTGTGTTGCAGCATCAACAACGGGAGAACCCTGTGTTGCAGCATCAAAAACGGGAGAACCCTGTGTTGCAGCATCAACAACGGGAGAACCCTGTGTTGCAGCATCAACAACGGGAGGACCGTGTGTTGCAGCATCAACAACGGGAGGACCCTGTGTTGCAGCATCAACAACGGGAGGACCCTGTGTTGCATCATCAACAACGGGAGGACCCTGTGTTGCATCATCAACAACGGGAGGACCCTGTGTTGCATCATCAACAACGGGAGGATCATGTGTTGCAGCATCAACAACAACAGGAGGACCGTGTGTTGCAGCATCAACAACAGGAGGACCGTGTGTTGCAGCATCAACAACAACAGGAGGACCGTGTGTTGCAGCATCAACAACAACAACAGGAGGACCGTGTGTTGCAGCATCAACAACAACAGGAGGACCGTGTGTTGCAGCATCAACAACAACAGGAGGACCGTGTGTTGCAGCATCAACAACAACAGGAGGACCGTGTGTTGCAGCATCAACAACAACGGGACCGTGTGTTGCAGCATCAACAACAACAACAACAGGAGGACCGTGTGTTGCAGCATCAACAACAACAACAACAACAGGAGGACCGTGTGTTGCAGCATCAACAACAACGGGAGGACCGTGTGTTGCAGCATCAACAACAACGGGACCGTGTGTTGCAGCATCAACAGCAGCAACAGGAGGACCGTGTGTTGCAGCATCAACAGCAGCAACAGGAGGACCGTGTGTTGCAGCATCAACAGCAGCAACAGGAGGACCGTGTGTTGCAGCATCAACAGCAGCAACAGGAGGACCGTGTGTTGCAGCAGCAACAGGAGGACCGTGTGTTGCAGCATCAACAGCAGCAACAGGAGGACCGTGTGTTGCAGCATCAACATCAACAGGAGGACCGTGTGTTGCAGCATCAACAACAGGAGGACCGTGTGTTGCAGCATCAACAACAGGAGGATCGTGTGTTGCAGCATCAATAACAGGAGGACCGTGTGTTGCAGCATCAATAACAGGAGGACCGTGTGTTGCAGCATCAACAACAACGGGACCGTGTGTTGCAGCATCAACAACAGCAACAGGAGGACCGTGTGTTGCAGCATCAACAGCAGCAACAGGAGGACCGTGTGTTGCAGCATCAACAGCAACAGGAGGACCGTGTGTTGCAGCATCAACAACAACAGGAGGACCGTGTGTTGCAGCATCAACAACAGGAGGACCGTGTGTTGCAGCATCAACAACAACAACAGGAGAAGGACCAAGCCCATACATTACATGACTTAATCTAACAAAAATGTGTATTAGTTCATAAACAAATAGTGCTACCAGCGGGTACCCTACAGCATGTGTCCGGTGGTGCCAACACTGGCTGGTGATGTCAGTCGTGGTGACACAAGCGTCGCCAACACTGGCTGGTGATGTCAGTCGTGGTGACCCGAGCGTCGCCAACACTGGTTGATGTCAGTCGTGGTGACACGAGCGTCGCCAACACTGGTTGATGTCAGTCGTGGTGACACGAGCGTCGCCAACACTGGTTGATGTCAGTCGTGGTGACCCGAGCGTCGCCAACACTGGTTGATGTCAGTCGTGGTGACACAAGCGTCGCCAACACTGGCTGATGTCAGTCGTGGTGACCCGAGCGTCACCAACACTGGCTGGTGATGTCAGTCGTGGTGACCCGAGCGTCGCCAACACTGGCTGGTGATGTCAGTCGTGGTGACCCGAGCGTCGCCAACACTGGCTGGTGATGTCAGTCGTGGTGACACGAGCGTCACCAACACTGGCTGATGTCAGTCGTGGTGACACGAGCGTCGCCAACACTGGCTGGTGATGTCAGTCGTGGTGACCCGAGCGTCGCCAACACTGGCTGGTGATGTCAGTCGTGGTGACCCGAGCGTCACCAACACTGGCTGATGTCAGTCGTGGTGACACGAGCGTCGCCAACACTGGCTGGTGATGTCAGTCGTGGTGACCCGAGCGTCGCCAACACTGGCTGGTGATGTCAGTCGTGGTGACCCGAGCGTCACCAACACTGGCTGGCGATGTCAGCCGTGGTGACCCGAGCGTCACCAACACTGGCTGGTGATGTCAGCCGTGGTGACCCGAGCGTCGCCAACACTGGTTGATGTCAGTCGTGGTGACCCGAGCGTCGCCAACACTGGCTGGTGATGTCAGTCGTGGTGACACGAGCGTCACCAACACTGGCTGGTGATGTCAGCCGTGGTGACCCGAGCGTCGCCAACACTGGTTGATGTCAGTCGTGGTGACCCGAGCGTCGCCAACACGCCGGTGACTTGGATAAGTGAGCCGGGTCCCCGGGAGACTGTTAACTGTGTCGGGTCCCCGGGAGCCTGTTAACTGTGCCGGGTCCCCGGGAGCCTGTTAACTGTGTCGGGTCCCCGGGAGCCTGTTAACTGTGCCGGGTCCCCGGGAGCCTGTTAACTGTGTCGGGTCCCCGGGAGCCTGTTAACTGTGTCGGGTCCCCGGGAGCCTGTTAACTGTGTCGGGTCCCCGGGAGCCTGTTAACTGTGTCGGGTCCCCGGGAGCCTGTTAACTGTGTCGGGTCCCCGGGAGCCTGTTAACTGTGTCGGGTCCCCGGGAGCCTGTTAACTGTGTCGGGTCCCCGGGAGCCTGTTAACTGTGCCGGGTCCCCGGGAGCCTGTTAACTGTGCCGGGTCCCCGGGAGCCTGTTAACTGTGCCGGGTCCCCGGGAGCCTGTTAACTGTGTCGGGTCCCCGGGAGCCTGTTAACTGTGTCGCTCAACAGGTGGCGGCAGGTTGAGATAAGCAGGAAATTCATAGTCTGAGCTTTGTGAGTGGAAGTGCTCAGGTGGGCCGTCCCGGGCCGGTAATGGCCGCCCTCACAAGATATACCACCACCACCACCGCCTTCTGCTTTTTTCTTTTACACTCTATTTTTTCCTTAAGACATTCTTGGCTTGTTCTTCTGCTAGCCCAAGCACTTGGAGTGGACGGTAGAGCGACGGTCTCGCTTCATGCAGGTCGGCGTTCAATCCCCGACCGTTCAAGTGGTTGGGCACCATTCCTTTTCCCCCCCCCCCGTCCCATCCCAAATCCTTATCCTGATCCCTTCCCAGTGCTATATAGTCGTAACCCTGGAAACACAAACCGAAACTGTTTCTATTTTCCGCTTGTTACAACTTGTAATAAAGTTGTTACATCTTGGCTTAACGTGTTTATGACGTATTAGAACGTTGTTACAACTTGATATATTGGTTGTTATAACTGGTTAGGAAGTGTTAAAACTTGTTCGAACGTTGTACCAACGTCGTAGTTTCGGTGTGTGTTTGGCGGGAATAACTTGGCGTTTTTCCCCTTAGTTCCTTCCTTCCTTTCTTGTTCTTCTGCTAAGAAGAGCTATAAAATATCTTGATTTTCATCTTAAAACTTCAAGATGTTTGGTTGTGTTGGTTGGTGTGGTCTGGCTCAGGAGTCCTCAGGAACTGACTGTAGTGCACAAGGCAGTCATATACTCGCATCTGTAATGCCCAGTTGTACAGTCAAACATATTTTATTACTATATAATCACACACAACTATTTTAAAACGAATACAATTATTATATGTTTAAATGTTTAATGGGTTATAAGTTGGGATACCCGGAGATGCCCGGGTCGACACGGACACGCCAAAACTGTCTCTGCCTTTCTTCCTTCCTATGTGTCTTAACTCTCTCACACACACACCAGTTATAACAAGTTGAAATTATAACAAGCTGAAAAAACCCTGCTCATAATGAGAGCATCCACCATGATGTGAGACTGTCAGTCAACAGGTGCACGACCTGTCAGGCAGTGTGAGAGTGACAGGTGACGGGAGGCGTGCCAGTGTTCCGTCGGGTGTGTGTGTGTGTGTGTGTGTGTGTGTGTGTGTGTGTGTGTGTGTGTGTGTGTGTGTGTGGTGTGGTGTGTGTGTGTGTGTGTGTGTTTTTGGGGGGGGGGGGGGTGGACAGTCCGTGATGCTCTTGACTTCTTGTAAAATTTACGACTTTTTCCTGCTGGCAAATCATGGCGAGTAGAAAATTAATATTAATATTCCCTAAGATCAGTACAAAATGTTTTACAAAAACAGTATTTTTTTATATGTTTAAGTTCTTGTTTTCAATGTGTTTATCCAGACGGAAACCGGTGGCTAGTGTCAAAATCGTCAAGGGGTCGGTATGCGACCGTGGAACGCTGTTCTCGTTTGTATTGTGTCGACGCCGATCCGACCATGTTGGGCATGTACCTGACAACAATCACTGTGCCAAGTTGAGTAAAACTAGCCCTAAGCATCTGGCTTCCAACCTCGAACAGACCGACTCACTAATTTATAGATATAGATTAGTGCCAGCAAGCTTTTACGATGTTAAATGCAGAATAGATTGCTTGTAGCGCTTGTTAACTGGACAACTTGTACAGCATGTTAACGGGACAACTTGTACAGCATGTTAACGGGACAACTTGTACAGCATGTTAACGGGACAACTTGTACAGCATGTTAACGGGACAACTTGTACAGCATGTTAACGGGACAACTTGTACAGCATGTTAACGGGACAACTTGTACAGCATGTTAACGGGACAACTTGTACAGCATGTTAACGGGACAACTTGTACAGCATGTTAACGGGACAACTTGTACAGCATGTTAACGGGACAACTTGTACAGCATGTTAACGGGACAACTTGTACAGCATGTTAACGGGACAACTTGTACAGTATGTTAACGGGACAACTTGTACAGCATGTTAACGGGACAACTTGTACAGCATGTTAACGGGACAACTTGTACAGCATGTTAACGGGACAACTTGTACAGCATGTTAACGGGACAACTTGCTAAGCTTGTCTACATTATGCCCAGCTTATTAAAAAGTTGGTGCTCTTGAGACAAGTTCCCAGGTGATGTATGGAGTCATAAGTCGGGACGAGACAGGTGTTGAGTCTCTCTCTTCATCTCTGGCTGTGTTGACCTTTATTAGCTAAGGTTCTCTCTCACGTGAAAAGGCTTACTTTGATGCAGACGGCAAATCACAATAACTTGCTGGAAGCAAACAACCCAACACTTGCGCGCACGCACACATTGTGAGATTATGCCTGCGGGGGATGGCACTAATACAAGTGACCTCGGTCAGCAAGGACTGCACTGACAACAAATGCTGAACGACAGGTTATTACTTTAAGACTGCAGCAGGTGGTGTGGAGGCGCCACCAGAGTCCCAATCCTTGGCGCTCTTATGACCCAGTGGGTCGTGTGCTTCTGTAACTGTTGTGGGCAGTTGTCGGAGTAGCTAATCGATTCTGACACCAATGATTTGTTGGTGTGTGTGGCTATGGAAATTGGCTAGAGTCCAGGTATCCAGAGCAACATATAGGGTCACTTGCAAGCGTATGGCAGAGTTAATAAATGAGGACGAGGGTCTTAGATGGTGTGAACGGAAAGGCACTTGTAGTTCAAACAATAACAATACATAAAACTTAACAATACAAGGCAACAATAGTATAACGTTACGTTAAAGTCTGTAGTGGCGCTATCAACACTATACAAGCCGGAATAATCAGACTTCCGGTTTAGACCGCTTGCTGTTCAAATACTAACTACACTGAAACAGTGGACGACCACTCAGACGCAAGTAGCAGTTCGTGACGACTGCGGCAAAACAATATAACAACAACAATAATTAAACGACAGACAGACCTGTCACAGAGACAGTTCTCCGTGCAACACTTGGTTAATTACCTTAGGGCTCGTCTTTTAGGACGGCAGTCAAAGTAATCAATTACGTTTCAACACTATGACAAACAGATAACAATTGATCTAAGCAATTTCAATCAAAACAAGTCACAACACATTTACGTTAATTAGCAAAATCAACTTCGTTAATCTGTCTCCAGGACAGTCAAACCAAAACAAGGTAAATTGCCTTAATTACACTGTCAACACAGACAGTCAAGCAACCGACCCAGGTTTAACGAAGCCAAT